TTTAAAAAAACACACGATCTAAGCTACATATGTACTAATGTTTCTGAAATTTTAAAGTTGTAGCACCTCTCTATAAGAAAATATAGATGTGGAAAACTTTTGTCAGACACTATAGATCAAACCAAACTAGTAGTAAAACTAAACTCATCTTTGGCAAGTCATATATAAGTGCAGAACTTGAGAAATTGGGATAGCCCATACATAACTGAGTTATAACTAGTTATAGCTTTTTACTTTAAATTGCAACATGCTATAACTTGCATATATACTGATATAAATATTTATATTATAACTTTTAATAAATATCATAACTCAATTTTATATGTTGTAACTTGCCGTAACTTGCTGTATTGTAAATATATATATATATTTTTATATGCAGTAGCAAATTTTATTTATTAAAAACATATAGCAAATACAGTATATATCGATATTAATATATATGTCTATTATAATATTTTGTTACTCTATTGCTTATTTATTATTCCATTTATAATAACTTACATATTATACTAGCATTATCTAACTTGATAAACTTCTGTTAATTGTGCTTGGCCATTTTAGCTAATTTTTGATGATAATTGAAGGTTGTTTTTTCATTAAAAATTTGTACTACTATATTTCTGTATTGTAATTAAGATTTTCTGAACCTACTTGTTGAGTATTATGATTTAATTCAATATTCTGATTATTGCTAAATAAGTTATTATTGCCAATGAAGGTTGGATTTAAAAGGTCAATTATTTCTTTAATTAATTAACTAGTTTCATTAATGTTATCAAATTGTATATCAGTGCTGCTTAATCTAGAAAATAGGTTTAAAAGAGTTAGAAAATTCTTCAAATTGCTCAACTTCTAACTGGCTAGAATTAACTGTTGCATCATTTACACTATCTCTAAGATCATGTTCTAGCAATTCTTTGCTGTAAAACTTTAATTTACTTTTAATATTTGTATAGCAAAATGCCCAAATTTTTGCTATTGTCTCTAAATGAAAAAAATATTAAGTTTTGTTCTGCAATCTTCAAAGATCTACTTTAAAGTTAAAAAATTTCATTTGCATATAGCTTGTAATAGTGAAATAGAAAAGATTTTGATAGCTAATTCAGCTAATGAATCTTCTTGAGAATCAATACTAAGCTACCATTTTAATGATGATTTTCTTTCCATATTAAACATTTGAGTATAAAGTTTCTCTTTATGTTTATAAGCACGAAGTTTTATTAGTAGATCTTTATATAATGCTTTATCATAGCCTAATTCTTGCCATATTTTAGCTGCAGTTTCACAAATATTGCAAAATTGATCTCGCTTTAATCCAGTACTTAAAATATATTATATATATATAGAATTAATAAGAATAAAATATATATACGAATAAAAATTATATAATTATATATATACCTTGATATAATGAATACAAGTAGTATGCAAGCTGATATAATAGCATTGCAATATCTTTATACTGTAAATTATAAACTTTTATTGCTCTAGGTTTAAACAAGTTGATATCTGGAAGACAATTTATAGCCACTGCAATTTTAATTAATGCTACATAGCAATCAGCAATAGCTACATATTAGCTTTCCAATTGATAAATTATATCTTTTATAGGTTTTAAAATTGCTGATATATAGTGACATTGAATAAAAAATTTATGATTTTGAATTAAATCAAAAATATTTTTGTTAGAAATTACAGTTGCATGAAAGCTAAAATATATTAAAAATAAATATTAATTTAGAATTATATATATTAAATTAAATTTTAAGATATTTACTAACTTACTTAGTCAAATACTGGCTGCATACGAATAAGAGAATCTACAGTCATGTATAAAGATCTCTATCATGTTTTACAATAAGTTTTAAGCTCATCTCCTTTATATTCATAATTGATAATCCTTTTTTTAAATATCTATTAGCTATTGAGGAATGATGAAAAAAGTTTATTATTATTTTACATTGTTTAATT